CCGCTGCCACTGGCAAAGAGCTGCCCTATGACGGGCACAGGGGCAGCTTTCACTGGGGGACAGCCTGCTCTCAGCCCTGGACCCTGCTTTTAGTAAGGTTCCCATGGCAAGTGAAATATTTATCCACTGCTCTTCCCTAGCCCTGCAAGCTTGGTGGATGTGGGTAGACAGTTTGTGTCTTTTGTGCCCTTGACTTTGCATTTCATACACGCTGATTGCAAGTTCATCCTTCTATAGGGACTTAATTAATCTACTGTTTTTGTCATTTCAATTCGAGTAGCCCAATTTAACCTGCCCCCAACCCCATACTTTGCAATTTCTCTCCTCCAAAGTTGTGTGCGAGTCACGCCTCGGGTCCTCGGTGTGCAGCGCTGGTGCTGCTTCTGAGCTGGCCTTCCTCACCCTGCAGGGAGGCCGAGTTGGGGTTCCTGTTGCGCCTCCTTTGATGGCAGCGCCCCCTTCCCACCGCCCCCCTGCAGTTGTTGCATGCACCCCACCCCGCCGCTGGACGGGCCCCAGTGGAGAGAGGTCTGAGCTCTGTTAGTTGGGTTTTGATTTCAGTACAGGAGTTGATAAAACGAGATAAACCCCTGGCTCACAGGGCCAGGGAAATTAAACAGAGATGATATCAAAGTTCCCCTGAGTTTTCAACTGTGATACAGTAGCTTAGTTTTCTCCCAGACTGGGGCCGGGAGGCATGCCTTTGATTCTGAAACAATATTCAGCATCAGTTAAGCCCAGCACCGCTGACTTTTAGGGATTAAGCACAGTGTTGTAGTAATTCTTTGATCAGCTACAAGGGAGCAGTGTGCTGTATGTATGAGAGGCTTTATAGTTAAAGTTCATTTCTCTGTGAACCTGGGATGACGGCATTGCCAAGGTGCTGCAGGGCCGGGGGCTGGGGCCTTCCCCAGGCACTCTTTGCAGTATTGCAGGCAGAAGCAGGAGACGGGTTTTCTCTGATTCAGCCTTGTTGCATAGCATTCAGCAGGCATGACAGGGAAAAAAAATCCTCCTAACTGATCCCATGTAGCCCCAATATGTACATGGAACACACACACACCCCACAGCACATTCACACATATTCTCCTGCCTGGTGGAGAAATCTCTCTGGGCAGACTCAAATACCTGCCCAGAGTAAGGCTGTGCAGCCCCCAGCCTTGGAAATGATGGCCATGTGCTGTGGGTAGAGATTGGGATGGAGATTGGGGCCAGGTGACCTATGGGGTTAAATTAGAACCAACTCAAGGTCGGTGTTGCCACTGTGCTCTCCCCGTGCCTGAGAGTAGACGAGACTCCCAGGTGCCATCACCACCTCTGTTCCTCACCTGGCATTTACTGAGAACTGACTGAATTTCAGGTTGGTTCAGTCTTAGAGTTCTGAGAAATCTCTGCCTCTGTTGTCTTATCTAAAATCCTGGGCAACTTTTGGCTTTCCCAGTAGAGACCTTCCCTGCAGCCCCAGCTGGGATGGTAGAAGTTTCCCTAAATTGCCTGCCCCTCCTCCTGGTTGGCCTCTCGACTTCCAGTTGGTAATGGAGCCCCTGTGTGCTGTCGATTGTGCTCACACAGTGCTATACATCAACCTATTCCCTCCTGTGCAGTGCTCGGATCTCCCTCATTAGGCCTAAATTTACCTCCGTCCTACACAAACATGGCCTTAGCTCATTTTTATTGTTGTAAATTATTTATGAGGGAAATGTTGAATCTTGAAACTGAGGTGTGAGGAAAATTAATCCCATGTTACTTTTATCTTTCTGTACTTGTCTCCCCTTTGCTTTACTTATTGGGCTATGGCTGGCGAAAGACGAGCTTTGGCATTTTTAAATATAATTAGTGTTGAAACTGCTTTCCCAGTCGGGTATCTGGTGGGATGTTGGTCTCTCTGCATAGTGTCATGGAAAGCAGATTAGACCTGGGGAGGAGGACGAGAGGTTCTGTTCAGGTTGGCGGCTGCCAGTTACCTGGCGTCTGATCACCCTGTGCCTCAGTTTTGTCTTCTCTAAAATAGGGGTAATAAGACCCAGCCACCTCCCAGGTTTGGTATGATCAGCCGTCAAGAAGGAACCTGAGAAAGCTTTCTGAGAATCGCAAAGCGTTGCACAAATGCAGGGGAGGTGTGTTGGTGTGTTTAGTGTGCAGTTAGGATTTTGAGACAGAGGTGGGTCTCTCCCTGCCTGCCGCGGAGCTGCTGAGGATGAAACGAGGGGTTGTTGCCAGTTGCCAGACAGGGTAATGTTGGTCTTCAGCAGCCCGCTCCCCCCCCGCCCCGCCCCGCCCCGCCGCGCCCCGCCCCTCCGCGGCCGCTTGCATTAACGGCCTCTTCTCCCCTCGCAGGCCTGGCCTGTGACCCTGGGCGGCTGAGTCCTCGGCGGGGCCATCCCTTCTGGCTCGAGGCTCCACGCAGCCCGGGAAACGTGGAGTGCTAGTTAATAAATGGCCTTTTGTTAGGAAGGTCAATTGAAGTGACGGTAGAGACGCTGTTAAAAGTAATTTGCAGTCAGAAAATATGTAATTCAGGGCGAGCTGCTTTGAGTGATTGCCTCTGCCATGGATATCTTGGGCGTTTCTCATTAAAAGCTTCCTTTGCTGGTGGTGGGGCCTCCTCCACTGCCGAGCCAGCCGCGGCCCCGCGCCGCGAGGAGTCATTTGTCTGTATTTCACAAAGGCTGCCTTGATCCCCAGGGTACAGCAACTGGGGGGAAAGGGAAGAAGGAGGCGTGCGTCCGAGATGCTCTGTGCTCATGCTCTGCTGTCGCATCCTCCCGTCTGCAGGCTGGCTGGCCACCGTGCACGCTTGGGCGCAGGCCGCCGGCTCCTTTGTCTGCCTCAGCCGGAGGCAGCCCGCAGCCATCTTGGAGCGAGCGGCCCGGCGGCCTCCCCGGTGCATTGTGGGAGCGGGGTCGCCCGGGGGCGAGTCTCCCCAGGGCGGGGGACAGCCGTGGTCACCCGCGCCGCGCGGGGCGTCGTGACCCGGGGACCGGAGTCTGTCAGCGAATCAGCGATTTCCTACTTCTTCCCACACTTGCCTCCTCTCTCCCTCTCACATAGTAGAGGCAGGACCACCACCACCACCACCAGCATCATCATCATCATCATCATAAAAACTTACCTCGGATGTTCTTTATTAAATTCACAGCGTGATATTTTAGCACCGGCAGAATTTGTACATTCTGTTAGTGAGTTGTTAATTGCAAAGCGTTTTGGTAACCAACAGCAGGTACCCATATTTTTCATACTGCAGCGGTGTTATTTTCGTGCTACCCATACTATGGGATTGTCCAAGTGACAATACTTTTTGATTAGTGTTTGGACTATCACTAGCTTTGGACTGGGCTGATGCAGATATTTAACCCTAAGCCTTCTTCGTGGAGGACATGCATGCTTATTCATTCAGTAAATGCTTCCTGCCTACTGTGTGCAGGAAGCAGTGGGCCCTGTGCTTTACACAAACCTGCTTGGCAAATAAAATTTGAAAAAAGAGAATGATGCCGTGGTGTGGCATGGTATTATCCTACCCCCTGGCCTGGGCTTCTAGAAGTTCATTTTCAGTAGAATTAAGTAAAGCATCACGTAGTTTGGCTTTTGTCATAAACAGAAGTTGAGAGTGTGGCTGCTGCCAGGCACTTCCTAGCCTTGATTGGATATTTGGCTCAATTTCATTGCTGAGTCCGTTTCCGGAGCCTTTTGTGGGCTTCAGGGGACATTGATTACATGGGTGACTTGCATATGGCATTCTGATTGTTCCCATGTAGAAGGCCGCAGTCATTTTTAATAGCCTCTGCCTTTTCTGATTCAAGGCTGAGAATTAAGAATATTTCTTCTCCTTGCCTAGTTAGGCATGGTGTTTGGTTTGCTTTAGAAGCAGTAACCAGCTTTGAGAGATCTGGTGGACCTACAGCCAGTGGAATTTAATTACTGCAGAAGGAGGTGGAATTTAACTTGCTCTTTTTCACTGCTTGTCCTTTTAAAAGTACTAAAAGTCATTTACATAAGGTGTTACCTCTTTTATTTGCTTTCTGGTGCACTGCTACTCGAGCTGCCCAGACCCAGTGCTCTCTATATTCTCCTTGTCTCCTCTAGTCACATCAAGAGGCAGTCAGCAGCAGAATAATAATTCCATTTCCCCTCCTTTTCTCCCAAAGTGCCCAGCAAGAATTATGGTCATTGTTAGTGTTTAGCTTTGAGTAAGTGCCCACATGACCTGTGGGATTAAACACAACAAAGGCGCCTGCCAGTCCTCCCAGAAAGGGCGTGTACCACATTTCTGGCCATTTATGCTGGACCTGTGTGCCCCAAACCTGCCAGTCTCATCTGCATTTTGTTGGGTGCCTACTGTATGCCAGGGACTGCTCCAGGCCCTTGCTTTATGTGATTCCCTTAGATCTCATGATGGCTCTCTTGACTGTCAGTATCATGACCTCTTGCTTACTCAAAGTCACTAGCCAGTAAGCCGTAGAGCCTGGACCTGAATGCCATCCCTTTGCCTCCATTTCAAGAACACTTTCCTCCGTGTGTTTGCAAAGCTTTGCCTACTGAACAGTCCACACTCTGTTGTGCTATATAGAGGCTGTGGATTTGGAGGTCTACACCTCCACAAAGGAATACTGTAAGGGACAGAAGTGAAAAGTGGTATTAGATTCAGGTGTATCTGATTTACTCTCAGAGAAGCTACTGGTATCTGTTCAGAAGTCAGGCAGCTTGTTGAGAGAGTTAAGAATGGGTTTGAGTCAAAGTTACCTCTCCGAGCAGGGACAGGCCTGCATTAACTACATGAGCCCAGTGTTCAGAGCCAACCTGAGAAGAGCAGGGGTCAGAGATGACTTGAATTCTTGATCTGAGGAAAGGGTCAGGTAAGGTCAGGGTTCCTTTAGCCAGTTCAGTATATGGAGCTTAGCTTAGGATATTTGTCCCAAGATTCTGGTTCTCTTTGAGACTGTATCATTTACTTTAAATGGTCAGTTTGAATTTTCTGCTTTCTTTTTCCTATTTGGAACTAGGACCAGTCCACCATGCCTGAAGTCAAAGACCTTTCAGAAGCTTTGCCAGAGACGTCGATGGATCCCATCACGGGAGTGGGGGTGGTGGCTTCTCGGAACCGAGCCCCAACAGGCTATGATGTAGTAAGTCAAGATCCTTGATTCAACCAGTATTTATCTCCTGTGTTCAAGACCCCCTGAGCCTTGTACATAAATGTGCTCCTTTCCTCTAGGAACTTAAACAGGGAGGGGAAGCATCACCAGTGGGAGGGGGTGGAGAGTGTCCTGGTTTGGGAGTCAGAGGACCTGAGTCCACTTGGGCTGTTTCCTGGCCTTGGCAGAGTCACTTGGCCTCTGTGATGGCCATTTTCACCTTCTATAAAACTAAAGGGTTGGCTCCCTTGATTTCTTTTTTTTTTATTTAATTTTTAAAAAAGATTTTACTTATTTATTCATGAGAGACAGAGAGAGGTGCAGAGACGTAGGCAGAGGGAGAAGCAGGCTCCCTGTGGTGAGCCTGTGGTGATCCCAGGACCTTGGGATCACTCCCTGAGTCAAAGGCAGATACTCAACTGCTGAGCCACCCAGGCGCTCCTGGCTCCCTTGATTCTAAACTCACTTCTAGTTATGAAATTTCATGAAAAGGATCCAGGAGTCTGAAAGATCCTTGTCATAGGTTGTCCTGGATGTGTAAGTGTCATCAGCATATTGCCATACATTCTTATAGCTCTTTACAGTTTACAGAGCAGTTTCCTACCTGTGAACTCATTTGGCTCTCACAGTTCCCTGGAACTCTAGAAGGGCAAGTGTCTTTAGCTCCTCCTGGAACGTGAGAAGGGCAAGTATCTTATCCTCTCCATTTTGCTGATTAAGAGAATCCAAGCTCTGGCAAGTGAAGTGACAGAGTCCCAGTCCTGGGAAGTAGTGAATCAGGAGCAGACCCCCTTCCAAGTCCAGTGCCCTGACTGATCATACCACGACAGGTTAAGTTTAACAGAGAACTTGCTCTGCTTTTCAGCATGTGTCTCTAGTGGTGTTCAGTAGTACTGATGGCTGGCATTGGTTATTTTGTTGTTTCCGTAGATAAATTATGATTTGGATCGGGCTTAAAAAGTGCAGAATAACATTAGGAAGGTTTGATTACCAGTGACTATGGTCTGAGATTCTAAGGTGGTCTTATTTTCACTTTCCTCATTTTGTTTAAGACAGCATTTTATTCCATTTATTGAAAATGTGCACCAAGAATGCATAAGAATAAAAGAATACAAATCTCATTAGCCAGCACTGAAAACCTGCTGCTGTGATTAGATTAACATCTAATGTCCTGGGTGGGGGGGATATGACACCTGGTCCAGAAGAAGCCCTAAGGCATGGTTTCTCAATCTTGACACTAGTGACATTTTGGACTAGACAATCAGGTAATTCTGTGTTGGGGGGCTATCCATTGCCACATATATAGGGTGCTTAGTAGCATCCCCTTCTACCTACTAGATGCCAGTAGCATCAACTGCACTTGTAACAACCAAAAATATGTCCAGGCATTGCCAGATGTCCTTAGGTGGAGGGAACAGAGGGGCAAAAGCAAATCCTTTCGAGAATACTGTAGTATATATTGAGTCAGCCAGCGCTGGGTCCTGTGCAGAGAAGGAGAAGCCTGTTAAAATCCTTCACATCACTTTCCCAACTGTTTGAAAGCTTATAAACATTTTAAAAGTGAAAGGACAAGGGAATCTTTTTTTTGACAAAGATTTGAGTCTTACCTGCTGTCTGACTTCAAAGTGCTGTTTGAATGTATAACTTGCTGTAAAATAGAATCATTAGATATGGCTTTGTGCCATAAAACTCTTGGGGAAGCTAATAAAAATGTTCCTGATTTGAGAAACCAAAGTGTCTTTTGATGAATTAGATATGAAGCAGCAAGTCATGAATCAGGGCAGGGGCTCAATGCTCGTGATCTCTGGGAGGACTGGCTCTGGGATTGCTCTCCTGGGAGGGCTCATGTGGGGGGCTCACACCCAGGGCATGGGTCTCCACATCTTCTTTCTGTTCTCTTTTGTTGATCTGTGTCTTTAACATTCTGCTTGTACCTTTGGGGTCATCTTGAAAGCTTGGCTAGTGGGTTGCAGATGGCCTTTGATAGTCTGGTTTTCTGAAAGTCTTGGTAAGTCTGACAGGAGCAGAATCTATCCCTATCATTTTCTCGTAACATCTAGCTCAGGGCAGAAGAGCGCAGCGTCAAATGAGTAAAATTAATAAGCACATTTCATGATTATGCTCTACCACGCATTATAGTGAAAGGTGAGCGGGGCAAGAGGCTCCGAGGGTCAGCCCGGCAATTACCCAGCCTCTGCACGCAGAGATGGAGAGTGTCCGAGCTCCCTCTGAAAGCCCTTTCAGGGGAGAGGGGTGCGAGACGTCTCTTGATACTGACCACTGGATTGTTCTCAGATAGGATCTGGTTCCCTAGAGGTCTGACCCTGAGTTCCAGGGGTAGGCTGGGAGGTCAGGGCGAAGAGAGGCACTTCTCATTCCTTTTATCCGGGGTTTCATAGAACGTCAACCTCCAAACCGAAATGCAAGGCGTTTTATAGTGGCGGGCTTCTGAGATGCTTAGACTGAACTGCAGTGGCGAGGAACCTGCTGTGGATTGTGGCGAGGCCCCCTCTGCCTGTCACATCTGCTGCAGGATTAATCCCTCCTGTGTACAGAGTATGTTCAGTACTGTGACCATACAGCCCCAAGAGTTTAGCATGGATGGACTGCTAACCCGGGGTAGCATGACCACAGGCCTTGTTGCTTGCTTGAAGTCAAAGATGCCACATGTGTGTTTATAAAAATTTAATTTTATAGCTTCTCTTGTCTCCAGTTCAGGGGAAGCTTCTTAGGTTGAGGGACTGGGGATTATTTGCTAAACTTCTCAATTTATTGTCTCATTGTCTGCAATCCTCTGTGAAATATAGCCTGCCCTTTCTGTTCCACTGCCATACTCTCAGATCTTAGAGTGACTGGTGATGATCCTTCCTTTTGTCAGAGGGCGAGCAGTCGCCTGTGTCCTTGTGACGTCACAGCACCTGCATGCTGACTCTTTGTAGATGCCTGGCATTTGCTGAAGGTAGTGCATGCTGTTTTATCATATGTGGACGGTCAGTTTTCAGTGAATCATAATGCCATAGAAGCACTTTATGCTAAAACTCTTCTGTGCAGAATTAATCTTTGATTTCCAAGTCACTCTGAGATAACAGCAACATCTGAGGGCATCGGGCTGGCCATAGCTGACGACCACCGTGGGTGTATTTCTATGTATTTGGTGAAATACGTTCTAATACATTCTAACTTTTACATTCTTTTGCCTTTCTAACAAGTGTTTGCAACTCAGACTAAAGCCTTGATGCTGTATTTATAACATGACTCTCCCCCCAAATGGAAGTAGATCCCTTTGATGTAATGCTTTTTGGTAATATATTTTCATATGATAATATGCTGTTTGGGCAAGAACTAACAAAAAGTCAACAATACAGAGAAAAAAGAATCAAATGCTCTATAGAGTTTTAACTTAAATTGTTTATTTATCCAGCCCCTTTTGTGAGTAAATAGTATGTGCCAGCTAGATCCTGGGGATTAAGTGGTGAGTGGAAACATCCAGGGTCCTTCCTTCACAAAGCTTACAGTCCAGAGGGAGAGGATGAGAATTATATGATCACACAAAGAAATGTAAAATAAAATTGTGGTTAAGTGCTTGGACAGGAAATCCTAACACACTGTTTATCTGTCAGATCCAGCTTTCCAGACCTGTCCACCTTTCTTGCTAAATTCCAGGTTATGACAACATAAACTCACTCCAACTTACCTCTAGAAATTCCTCCCTTTCTTCTCTACCCTCAGACCTGCCAAGTGTCTATCCTGCTGCATTTTCTGCACCTCTCCCAATGCACCACGTCAAGTGTGCTCAGGGTTCTTTGCCTCTGGCTTTCTCCCCTGCTACTGTACTGGGCCATTTTTGTTGGTGACATCTATGAGGTTGCCCTAGGCTGGGTGCAGCTCCCTGCTAACCTGGCAGTGGTTGCTCCCACCTTTCTGGCTTGAGTGGGGATCGACATTCCCTGCTACTCCCTTCTTCTGGGACCTGCCATGGTTTCCCATAGAACACCTGAGACAGGAATCACTTTTAATGAGATTATTCGGGAGTCCTGAGGATGAGGGGAATGAGAGAATAAAACTCAGAGAATATGACAGTATGCTATTGAGGCCCCATGTCCTTTGACCTCCTACTTGCCTAGACTCCGCCTTCATTCTGCCTATCCCAGAACAGTGTTTAGAGTTGAATCCTGGCCTCAGAGAGAGCAGGAGACTTTTTTTCCCCCTCTCTTCAGTCTAAGACCTCTTCCATTCTCTTCCAGAAAAACCTCACCCTCTACACAGGAGTCTTTATGGCACAGTCACCCCAGAGCGACAAATTATCCCTTAGCTCAGTGACTATTTTCAGATGTCCAGGTGGGGGAATTTTCAAGCATTTTTAGACCTCACTATTCTGGAAGACCCCATACCCCAAATTTGTGCTGCAGTGGGTCTGGGGCAGGGCCTGAGAAGTTCATTCTAACCAGTCCCAGGTGATGTTGATGCTACTGGTCCAGGGGCCACACTTTGAGAACCACTGGTCTAATCAAGTCACTCTTAAATAATCTCTACATGTGGCCGCAGGTCTACCTCAGGGAGGACTGTGCTAGCTTTTTCTGCTATTTTCAGCCTCTCCTGATTTAGACTTTAGAAAGTCTCTGAGGATGTGTATATCTATGAGTTTTTAAAAATATATATATTTTAAAAATATAAATGGAATGGTACTATTCACACTCTCCTAACTTTTAAGATATAACACATTGAGGACATAGATAGCTCTATTATTAATTCATTCATCTCTTTCATTGAGTACACGTGATTTCAATGTATTTTCCGGTCTCACTTCCTTCTACCCACTTCTTCCCTGGCCTTGCGGAACTTCTCACTTTCTCATACTCAGAATAAGCAGAAACTTTGTACCATTGTCCTCCTGAGTCTGCTTTTTTCCAGAATGCCAGAATTCCTGTATCTCGCACCCAACCCCACTCTTTGGGTAAAATTTTACCTCTCCTTTAAAACCCCATTGGAGT